ATTATTTTGGCAAAAGAGGAATTATTATTTTTTAAATTAAATTTATTATTATAATTTATAATAAATAATAAATTTGAGTTATTAAATTTTAAAAAAAAGAAGAAGAAATTTCTTGTCACAAGCTATGCAACCCTTCAATCCTCAACATGCTATGCAATCCTTCAATCTGGAAAAAAAAAATCACACTATTTTAAGTCATTTCGTCATAGTGCATAATAAAGATAATCATTAATAAATATGAAATAATTAAGAAATAGAACTTACTGAACATTTTCGGCAAAATTATGTGAATCATCTTCTTCAGTTATAAAATCCCAGATGATTGCATATATGTTAGCACATACTATGTCTTCATTGCAATATTTTTTAATAGTTCGTCAATTTATTTTTGTATCCAACATATATTTTTTCAAATAATAGCATAAAACATCATTCTCTATAATGCAAATATTTAACAATTTGTAAATAAATTGATATAAAAACAAAATAGTAGTAAATAATTAATTTAAATATTTAACAGATTTTTTTAAAAAATGGGAAGTTATTTTTTTAAAAAAAAAAACATGTGGTACGATTATTTACTTCTATTTAAAATATAAAAGTATTCTTTTTCTTTAGATTTTCAAATTTAAAATATGTTTAGTTTTAATTTAAGATTGTAAATTAATTTTGTAAATATAGTATAAATTATGTTTAAAAAGACTCCATTGTGCATACGTATTCTTTTCTTTAAAAAAGATTTTCCGATTTAAAACGTTTAAAAAATTGTTTTTTTTTTTAAATATTGAAATTTTTCCTCGATTAAATGACTTTAAAAAATCAATCTTTTTACTAATTTATAAATTAGATTTAAAAAAAAATAGTAAATATATGTTTTAAAATGTTGACATTTGTCATTATTTGTGTAAGTTGATGACATGTGTCTATTTTGTTTTAAATTTCAAATTTATAATATTTAATTATTTATATAATTTTTATTTTTTATTATTTAAAATTCTGAAAATTCATGGTGCTGACATGTGGTCTTTTTTCTTCTCCTATTATATATAGATAGATTATTATTATTATCATTATTATTAATGATAATAATAATAAGAGTTAAGTTATTAATTTTTATTTATTGAAAATGGTTGATTCACAACCCTTCTGATTTTCTTTTTCATTTATACTTTTTCAATTTATAAATTTTATTATTTAAATTATTTTTCCATATTAATTAGTGGCCATTTTTTCTTTTTATCTATTATTAATAAGTGTTAAAAACTTTAATTTTTATTTTTTGAAAATGGTTGATTCACGGCCGTTTTTTATTTTATTTTATTATTATTTATTATTTTTCTAAAATTTTGTTATTTAAATATTTTACACATATTTTTGAAATTCAATTATTATTATTATTATTATTGTAATTAAAAAAATCAAATTTTTTTGGTGGTTTCTATAAGTTTACACATATTTTTGAAATTCTATTATTATTATTATTACTATA